AAAAAAAAATGTAGTGACATTTTATTCTATTGTAAATCAAAATATTATCAAACCGCAAATGCTTTTATTGCGAAAACTTACAAACGTAAAATATTTTAAGGAAAAAAAGGGTAACGAATACGAAAAAAAAAGAAAGAAAAAAAGGAAAAAAAACAACGAACAGTGTCATTTTTGCAAAGCCTCAGCTGCACACAAACAACACATACAAAGCGGAAGTTTGCTTCCAAAGTGGCGAAGGAAGGGAAGAACTGCCGTGCCGACGAGATGATTACACTTTCAACTTTTCGAACTATGAAGACAAAAGGAAAGGAAATAAAAAGGGAAGATGAAAGAGAAAAACAGTGACAGATAAAACACAGTAATTGATTGCCTGGCTAAGTTCCAAAAAATAAGCTCTACACAAAAAATTCAAACTGTGAAGACTGTAGAAACTAAAAAGCACTAATTTTACGCTGTCTAGTCCAGTGGTACGTGCTGGTGAATTTGCTATGCTAAACCTTCTGTAACCATTACCTGGTCACTTCTGTACTTTACGGGCCAGCGGTTCTTTAGGCTTTTCTGGAGGGCGTGGCTATCGTGATCCGCAACGCCTTCAAAAATCTGCCAAAGAAATTTTCTTTCGCATGTGGTTTTCCGGTGAAAAACCAGTGAAAAGTCGATGATTTGCGGAATTTGCACTAAAACTGTTACAGCCTGGTCTAAACAAGTTTTCTTATCGATTGCCACAGAATATCCGCAAGTTCTTTTCTCCCTGCTTCAAAACTCCAATAAGTTTTTTTTGCCGTTGACTTACTGAAGGAAAAAAATGCAAATTGGCTGGTAGAAAAAACTAAGCCACTTTGCTGTAAACATTTAATAGATGGTGATTAATAATAAATTTTTTTCTGCGTGATAAAAAAAAAATTTCTGCTTTTATTACTTTTGATAAACCTGTAGGCTATCTGCCGGTAATACATGACGCAGTTTGATTTACAAAACTAAGCTAAACAGTATTAATAAGAAGTTTACATATAACAACCAGTTATCTGTTTAAAAATACCCGTTGATTACGGTATTCTACTTTTTTGAGACTGCCAGTTTCGTACATTTGTTCCATGGTTGTTGTAAACTTTGTAAACATTGAAAACTTTGAGAGAAAATAAATGTTATGAAGAACCTGAAAAAAAAACTTGATGGAACAGCGGCT